AATGTCAAGTCTTGAAACTCTACGCACCATGAAAAAGAAGGAAGAATGTCGAAAACTAATTCCAGGGGGGTAACTGCCATGCCAAGTGAAGACAGTGAGAAAATGGTTGAGGGTTCCATGGAGGTCAGTGGAGCAGCCTATGATGACCCAGAAAACACGGTCACAGGCTCCCTGAACATCCAGGGGCCAGCCAGCGGCTATGCAGGGAAGTCAGTGATGGGCTCCATACACATCAGAGGAGGCAAGACACTGATGGGGTCTATGCATATCAAAGGACCAACAAGTGGCCTCCCAGGCTCATCGCTGACAGGTTCCATGAAGGTCAAAGGACCAGCAAGTTATCCTACTGTGCAGAAAGCAGGATACCATGTAAGTTTGGTGAAGCGGTGGGAAGTAAAAGCAGCGGGGTTTGTTCTGGGCCCATCTTACCCTCGTTGGAAAATCACATATTGCCTATGTATTGATAAATATACTTAAAGGCTTGTTTTACCCCACGGCTGACTCACCTCCCAAATCATGCCATGCATGCCACAATGCCATCGAGCAAAGGACGTAATTTGCACGATGATGCTGTGATGTGCATGACCTCACTTGCCCCTTGCCTCCACCCGACAGATGCTCACGTTTCTTCCCTTCAGCGGCACCCCGAAGGAACGAGCACTTGCTGATTCAGTCCACTGGGGGAAAAAAAAGAAAAAGAAGACATGGGAATGTTTTCTGGGAATTTGTTTGGTGTGTTGCAATTGCTGAAGCCTATCTTGAGGGTTGGGGGGCTGAGGGGAGAGAAGGGTGGCATATAATAGCTAGCATTCCCTTTTGAGTTCTTCCCAGAAGGATGCAGAAGGGGGGGAAATCTATAGTGTTAATGTTGATTTCTAGAGTTCACATGGTGAAGTTTCTTATAGGAGGATAAAGCAAGTCAGAAGGAGAAAATGTTAGTTTCTTGGAACTACAGAAATTATGAAGGAAGCAATGCTGGTTGACGGTTGCAAATTTAATTTTGAATTTTGCAAGCCAGGTGTCTATAATGCGATGCCCCCACCCTCTTAGTCAGAACTATCCCTCCTCTTATCTGCAGCCACTGATCAAGTAGGATGGGACTTGTAACCTGGCAGATAGGAAGAGAGTGTCTCCTAGTAGACAATCTGTGTGAAGGAAAAAAACCCATAAAGGAAGGCTCAGAAAGCAAGCTAGATATTCCTGCCTACTGTGTACTCCATTTTAACATAGCTGGTGGGATTAGTTCAGTGTGTCCCACCAGGAAGTGGAGTAAACCTTGAGTAAATTATTCAGAGGGAAAAGTATCATGGGAATGGAATAGTATCTAAAATATATGAGCTGAGTCCACCCATTGTCTAAGGATCACGTGGTTTGATTCTTCTATCTAAACTATGGTCGATAGCTGTGTGTTGTTTGACGGCAGCTAACGTTGGTCCATTGAACAAACCATGGTTAAACTAGCTATGGCTTAGCATAGTATATGAGTCCAGTCCCCAAGCTTTGCAGATCCTCAGGCTATGATTTAACGCTTCTCTTCATCCCTGATCGGCCTCCACCGTCTCTGGTGTTGTAAAAATTCCCATTCTTTCCTTGTTTAATCAGATGGTTAGATGGTTGAATCTGCTGTAGAAACTCCTACAGCCTGACTCTGCGCTGAATCTCAGGCAAGGCCATCTTGGCACTCAAAGAACAGGGTTTTGGTTGGTCGAAGCATGTTCAAAGAACGGAAGAGACGCCATCCGTCCCCTGTCCTATCATATCTGCACTTGTGAATTACAGATGTCATTCCATTACAGCAGAGACGTGTGCTGTCATGGCAACGTGTGTGTGTGTGTGTGTGTGTGTGTGTGAAGGATAAGTGATGTTTCTTTGAAAGGGAGTTTTATGGAAAGATTTGCAGGAATCCACGTCTGAGGAGTGGTATTTCAAAGGGCTGCTTTCGGAAAAGGTTTATTTATTATTCCTTTAAAAGGCTTGGTACAGGAATGTACGGGTGAGGATGAGCGCGTGTGCGTATCTGTGCTGGCCAAGAGGGGGGTTAAAGTCCATGATCTGTGGAACATGCCTTTTTACAAGCTGAGCTGTGGATCTTGGTCTAAACTTCAGACTCGCAGGCTTGAAACATCTGATAGGAGCCTTGATACCTAGCAGTAAAATAGCAATGCATGGAAACGCTAGCCTGTCTCTTATTTGCGCCAGCTGCCACGGGAGTTTTGTAGTAGAGATGCTCTTTTAAAGATACGTACAAAAGAGAACTATATGGTAACTTGCTTTTTTATATTTCCTATTTGGAGTGGGGTAGAGTTCTCTGAAGGCATAGTTAAGGATTAATCCTGGTGCAGCTTCTAGAACCTTTCCCTTTCTGCTACGAAGGACTGCCCTCTGCTATTTCAGCGTAAGAGCCATTGATTTTTCGGTCTGAATATTTTATGGAAAGCTTTTCAAGTCTGGCATTCTCTTGGAGGAGCAAAGGGTTAGCTCCCCAATCTCAACGAACGACCCTTGTTCCTGAGGGAGCCTCCTGCAAAGTGTGTTTGGAATCAAATAGGGGGTTAGGAGGGTGGGAAACCGAGAGATAAGGGGGATTTTGAATAACCAATTGATTATCAGTTGAACATTGAATGGGGGGGGGGGGGTTAGCAAAAACAAGGAGAGTGTGACAGCTTTTACAAGCTGTCTTCAGATGTGTAAAGGAGTCCTCTGCAGAGAGGGTTCAAAATTCGAGGTCGAAGTATTTACGACGTAGGTATTTCTAAGCATTAGAGAGCCGGATGCTAACTCTCACCGCACCGCAGTGTTTTTCTACCTGGAGAGGCTCCTATGCAGAACGGAGAGATTTTTCTTGTGATAACGTGGCTTGTTAGCTTCAGGGAGCTGGTGAAACCCTCTGCATGTCTTGAGCGTGGACTCAAGCCAGCTGAGTTCCAAATAGCCTGTCCTTCAGATGACGGAGCTGCCTTTCTTGCTGGGGGAGGGGGGGAAGAAGAGGGGATTTTGAAGATGAGGAGGTGTGTTGGCATTGGGCAGGAACAGTTTGGGATGGGTAAGGCCCTCCCTGAGAGAAAAGCAGGCAACCCTGAGGTTTTCTGTCCCTCTGCTCTGCTGTGGTTTCTGAAAACATGGTCGATGTTGTGAGCCAACAGTCCTTAACTGCAATTATAAAGGTATGCCCTTTCTTTATCCCCATTTCTTCCCCAAAGGTGATGCTGCTGTGTCACACCCCTGTGCTTCCAGGGAGAGCTGTGTGTGTTTGAGGGTGTGATGCTTTCATTGGTAGATCCGTAATAACAATGTGATGCGTTTTGTGTTTCTCAAAAGTTTTCTTCTGTTACGACTCCTAGTTTTCTAGTTCATTTTTGGAGGGCTTGGGGAGGTCTTTTGTGTTTCCCTGGATGTGGGGTAGTTTGAGCTGACTTTCTTGTTGGAGGGGGTTCTGTCCCTGGCGTGATGGTTTTCTGTTCCACATCTTTCCCTCTGGATCCTTCTGGGCTGCCCATGTTTCCCAGGAGAGGATTGTATTATCATAGAATGATGGCATTGGAAGGAACCACGAAGACGATCTAGAACAACCCTTGAAAACCAGTCCTTCAGAGGTGGCTGTTCAACCTCTTCCTAAAAGCCTCCTGAGATGGAGAACCTACAAACTCTGTAGGTAGTTTCACCATTTACAGATCTTACCATCAGGAAGCCTGTCTTTACATTTCAATGAAAATATCCAGTGGGAAGAATTCTCTCCTCCTGCCTTTCCTTGGAATTAAATGGAAAAGTGGGAAGCCAAGGAGGAGGATGTTGCAATCAAGGTCATTCACGCATACTTATTTTGGTCCTCTTCTCCCTAAGTGTAAGAACACCACTTAGGAGAACTTCACCAAAAGAATAACTTTTGGAAGATAATCCTCAGCCAGTGAATTGAATGAGTAGGGGAAACTATTGTCTTGCATAGCATTATGAGATATCTTTGCAGGCTTACTGTAGGGTATCTGTTGTGATTGCTCACATGTGGACAAGGATGGCCAGAGTTTAGACTAAGGGTCTAGCATTACCTACCCATATCTGAGATATTCCACGGGGAAGAATGTTAATGTACCTTTCCAATACTGGTTCTCTTTGCAAGATGATCATAGAAATTGTTGCCAATAAGTGCTTTGAACACAGACCTTTTGGGAAGGTGCCACCGAATTAAGAAACAGTTTCACTTTTTTTCTCTTGTTACCTCTAATGAGCAAACCATAATTCGTTTCCTGAATCAATATGACCAGCTGATTAAGATGATAATTAGCCACATGTCTGCCATCCGAGCCACTGATATCCGATCTGTTCCCTCCTCCGCACCCTTCTATTTAGTAGACACATTTCCTAAATTATCTTCTCAATGTAATATGAGAGCAGTCAAAAGACTTGGAAAGGGTTTTGGGCTAGCACACGGCACAACAGTGCATTGTGAAGCACAATCTGGTGCTGAAGTGCTGGCTGTCCCCCACCAGAAAACTGCTGTGAAAAGGAAAATGGCAAGTGGTGGGATGGATGGATAGATGGATGGATGGATGGATGGGCAAACATCTCCCCATCTATTGTTCAGCAGTGGTTTGGTATTTGTGGGACACCTCTCCCCTAAAGATCCTGCAAATCTCTTCAAAAGTTATAATTTACAGTCACTATTAGCTTGCACATGTATAATGATTTTAGGGTTTGCATTTGAAAGAGGCTCCCACAGTCTGTCCAATCCGGGCCCTCCTCTGTAGAAACTCAACTATATAAGAATTCTGGGGTTTTTTTGGTTTTTTTTTTACCCGTCATTGGATTTTTGCCCAATGGAAATGTCTTTCAAAAAGTCTCATTCATTCCAGTTCAAGTCTGGAACACGCAAATATTGACATGGCTAAGGCTTTGTTTCAGAAGAGGTGGGGATGAAGACGAGAGGGAAGATGTATGAACTTCATGGCTGTAGCAGTAGTAAGCAACAATGACAAAATATACCTGGCTTTCTTTCCTCTTTACAGGAAGAAAGCAAACAGATCCAGGCTTGGCAGAAATCCAGCTCACAGTCAGATTCTCATGATGATGAAGTTTCTCCACCACCACCCAACCCGGTGGTCAAGGCGCGACATCGAAGGGGTGGTGTCAGTGCTGAGGTCTACACAGAAGAAGATGCAGTTTCTTATGTCCGGAAGGTAATATGGTCATGCTTGGAGGGTTGCTATAAAGGATGCATGGAAATTGTGTTTCAGGATACGTCAAAAACCAGTTTGGTGTTGTGGTCAAGGCACCAGGCTACAAACTGGGAGGCCATGAGTTCTAGTTCCACCTTAGGCATGAAACCAGCTGGGTGACCTTGAGCCGGTCCCTCCCTCTCTGCTCTAGGAAGGAGGCAATGGCAAACCAATTCTGAAAAGCCTTCCCAAGAAAACTGCAGAGACTTGTCCAGGCAGTTGCCAGGAGTCAAAAAACTGACTCAAAGGCACACACACATATACGTCAAAAGACAGGCATCTAGAAAAATGGACCTTCCTTTATGGACCACCATTGGCCTTTGAGTGATGGGCTGAGATTTTATCAGTTTGTGTTTTTATCAGAAGACCACACAGACAGATTCTCTCCAGTATGTCTGCCCCAAGCCAGCTTGGTCAGGTCCAAATGGTGGTCATCCTGCTCAGAAGGGTTGTGTGAATGGATTCTGTGATGTTCGCTCCTGATTTTCAATATCAAATCTATTCTATAGCACCCTGTCCCAGCATTTCAATGAAGTCAACCTGGCAACCACCCAACATTCAGAGCCAAGTTCAATAATTAATGTATCTTGCTGCTTAAGATGCATTTGAAGAAGTAATATTTTATAAAGTTCTGCCAGATGCTTAATTATTTGCTATTCAGCCTTTTTAAAATATTCCCATTAGATGTTCCTCGCAAGATAATTCTGTCTTGCTTCTGGCCTGCCCCATTAGTTCAATCCAGGTAGAAGAAATATCGATAAGTTAATTCAGCATTTTCTAAATGATTCTTGATACTCGGGGCATAACTGGCTTTTATTTTAGACTAAGCAACTTCACAATTCCCACAGTTCTCACAAAGCCACTCCTGGAAGCTTTCAGAAGCTTAACTCAGGATTGGAATTATGGAGTTGCTTTGCTGTTGCTTTTCTTAAATTACTCTAACTGAGTTTTGCCACTCAGCGCATCTGATGAAATAAGCTGCAGCTCATGAAAGTCCTAATAAAATGTCTTCTTCTGAAAAGTGCTACCAGATTCTTTCTGATTTCTAGCTTTTGTAGTTTAACATGGCTCTCCTTCTACAATGTCTATAACAGGAATCTTGGCTGATCTTTTTCTAATCATCCAGAGTTCTACTTACTCCTAACTTGCCCTTCTGCACCTCTTCTTTCCATTCCAGGTCATTCCAAAGGACTATAAGACCATGACAGCTTTAGCCAAGGCCATTTCCAAGAATGTCCTCTTTGCTCACCTTGATGATAATGAGAGAAGGTATGATGGAGTCCATTGGCTCTATTTTACATTACGGTTTATTTCATCTGGCACGAGTTCAAGAACAAGATTTCATGGTTCTTGTACCAACCTAAACCTTTGGGTGGTGCTCCTATAGCTTCCCAAAGCTGTCCCAAATTAGAATTTGCTAATGTGAAGAAGTGAAAGGCTATTTGGGGAGTAAATTTAATTTTAATGACATCTCTTTCATTAATGAACCAATTTGTTGCATCTAACAGAAGAAATTTTAAAAAAAGGATTTATATGTATATGACTGTATTCCCAATGTCATATAACATTAAAATGAAAAGAGAAGGGGAAGAAAAGGGTTGGAAGGCTACATATGTCATAAATGAAGTCCAAAAAAATTGACCTGATTGCTTAGGAGCCCTTTTTGTCCTCAAACCCCACTAATTCAAATGCTGATGAATGACACAGGTCCACAATCCCCTGCTACAAATTAGACCTGCTCTTCCAGTGTTGTACAATGATTTTTTTCCAGGGGCAAAACATACAAGCAACCTTTCTGAAACATTCTCCAAGGCATCCAATATATAAAACCCAATTTTTCTCTCCTTATAACTTCATCTTAAGATCCCAGGACAATACTGAAAGAAGATAGTTGGATTCAATTGGTTTGGCTGGTGTTGACATTGCACCAACTCACCGATGAACCCCTGATGGTCCTTGCCCTCCTGGGGCAGCCAGAAACTTTGGGTTTGTCACCAGCTTGTAACTGCAAGTGAGCCAGGAGGAAAGTATCATTGACTTGAAGGATGCATTAATTACATTCATTTTTAGCAGCATTTCATTTAGTTTCTGCCCTGGTCGTTGGGCACTTTTTGATTTGGGGTGTTTTCTTTGTTCTTTAGGACTTGGTTTGGAAAATGCTGGGCATCTACGCACTGGATAATCCTCACCCTAATCTTAGGAATGGGTGTTGAATGTCCAGATCGGCTTTCAGCCAAGATGTGGGTTGCATAAAAGCTCCCTCCCCCGCAATAGTATTTTCTCTCTGTAACAAACATTTGATCCTATGCTCCCCTCCCAATTCTTTTTACTCCTTCAAAACTTTCTAAAAATTGTGCTTTATTCTTTTTTTTTTTTAAAGGGCAATGCACTATTACATTGGTGAATATTTTTACCAATATCTTTACATTTTGAAAAGTTTGTCGCATCCCACCTGGAAGACTGAAGATGAAAAAATTTATTTGAATCTTTATTTCAATCACTGGCAGAGATATATGATAAACATGAGGAATTCAGAGTCCTTTGGAACTACAATTTCAGTACAATTCCTGCTTAATTTTGTAATCACATTTGTAGGTTCTTCATTGCATTGCTGTCCACGTTAGCTCCTCAATCCAGTTGATCCAGCTGCTGGTTTACTTTAGTGGATTTATTTTGGAATAACATGGTTGCCTTAGTTTCTTGACCTGAACTGCTTTGGAGTGTGTGAAGCAGCTGGTTTAGTCTCATCCTTACAAAAAAGTAACAGTTTCTAAGATTTCCAGAAACAAAGGTGGTCTTTGAATTGGCCACAACAGCTGGAACAGCCCGATGCACCACGGTCTCTCAGCTGCCACATGCAGAACAGAGACGGGCGGTAATAGAATATTTTAAGCATTTAGTAATTCCAGATTTGTCATTTTTTAGAAATATGTCTGTGTGTTGGGAGGGAAGGGAACAATGTATTTTAGGAATGGGTAGGAACTTTGGAGTGTTGGAAACTGGGGCCATGGACATACCCAAATGGTGATGGCTTAAGTTTCTGGGGCAGGCTGGCTTTTGGTAAGTAACATTACCAGGATCCCTTTTGTGGCTCCAGAATTGTGGAGGTGGAGGGACACAGCATGAGATCTCTGTTTTTTAACTTTTGAGCATTTGAGGGATTTTAAGGGGCAAACAGCTTCCTTAAGCCTTGTGGACACTTAAAACATCCTTTTCATAATAAAAAAATGTGTGAAGCCCATTCCAAAATGGGTCCCAGTCCTGCTCAACTTGGAAGTGTGGCCCTGATGGAATTTATCCATTCCTGTACTAAGCCACAAAACCATGTTTGGCAAACCTCCAAGATTGGGTTCACATATCCATTTAAGTCATGGTTTCACTTAGCCATTTTTCACCGAATAAACTATAATAGCTGGGTTGCAGAATGCACTCAGCCAGACCATGATATGTGAAACCAACCTTTCTGTTTTCTCATTCTCCTTCCTTAACGTTGTGCTGTCCATCATTTCATAGCACGTAGTCCTTCCTCATCCTGGCATTTCTGGGCATGCTGACTTGGAATTCTGGGGGATGAAGTTCAACCCATCAGAGAAGGGTGAGCCTTGGTCATAACAGGGTGACCATTTCACTCCCTGCCACCTGGTGTCACTGTATTCAAGATCATGCTATTATTACTATTTTTTTAAAAAAGAAGCAAAGCAAACATGCATTTGGACACCCACACCCATAAACTCAAACACACGGCTAAATCTCTAGACTGCCACTGTGAAGATCAGAAATACAGACCACCATTAACAGCAGTGTTGGTGTTGTTGAGAACATGCACCCACAAGATCCATGTAGTTTCAAAAGAGGTCCCCTTATTTTTTGAGAACACGCTACAAAAGCTGCTGATGAATTCTGTGCAAAGGAAAAGTTCTCACGCTGTCTTGTTTCTAGCTGGTCCAGAGCTGGACAGTTCACAATTAGTTTTGCTAAACAGGAAAGCAAAAAGTCTGTAGCTCAGTGCCAAAACCTTCCTTGTATAACAAAGGTTCCAGGTTTGTTTCTTGGCACCTCCAATAGAGTTGGGGAAATTCCTGTGCCCAAAATCTTGGAGAACTTCAGCTAATCAGTGTCAGCCATATGGAGATTGATGGACCCGTGACCTGGTTTAGAGTAAGGCCACTTCCTGTATTTCTTCTTAGCTGTTACTCCAGATGAAATTTTGTATGTGGAATCACAGCTGAGGAAGGGAAGTGAAACCTCTAGAACCAGCCGTACCATTAGATGGGATGAAGCAGCCCGTTTGGGTGCTGATGGATCAAAATGAACATAAGCTCCTGCCCTCCCAAGCAGTTGTCTGGAGCACTTTAAGGTGATACCTTTCTTTCTGGAGTATATTGGATCTCTACTCTGCAGCTTTGCACAGGTAACTGGGAAAGCCATCCCATAATTTTTTAAACAACTTCTTCCAAATGAAAGCAGTGGAAGAGTCAAGTGAGGAGAACAGAATTCTTCCTTCCACTTCAAGCACCATGTCCTTCTGGATTTCCCTGGAAACACCACTGCCTTTCTCTCTATTTCCCTTCTTCAAATTGCACTCAGCTTCCTTACAGGTTGTGTGGCAACAGACTATTCTTATAACTACCATTGACTGCCCGGACTGGCCCCAATTCCTTCCTACCCCGTTTGCTTTGGAGAGGATTCATCAGTGCTTCTCCCCTTGCTGAGTTGCTCGACAACTAGATGACAGGACATGATCTGGCGGCCCAAGGACCTTTGGGACAATCTTAATGACCCTGATGTTGCATTTTGTGTGTTCCAGTCACTGTATCCTCCTTGCCCTACCCAGGACGCAAGGATATCTGTTACGGAACAAACATGGGTTGGGGATGTACTAACCACCCAGCTATGTGGGTGAATGCTTTTGCAAAGGCGGACGGAGAGAAATCCAGCAGGTGGTGATGAGAAAGGCAGCTTGAAGTCACATCTGGAGAAATGTGCTTTTCACTCTGCATTCCTGCAGCTGTTTGGCCTGCATTGTTCTGTTTTAACATTCAGAGCTGTGGCCTTTCCTACCAGATCAACTGCAAGTGTCCTTCCTCCCCAACATGTGCCCAGAAGCAGTGTGTTTTCTTCTGCAGACACCAGACATTCAGATTAGTGTGTCTCCCCCAGGGATCAGATAGAAGCTTGCCTACATGTGCTTACTCACGGTGGAGGCTGAGAACATTGCTAAAACAGATGGGAAGGCCTAAATGTCCCATCAGAAATATGAGAGGAGGAGGAGGAGGAGGAGGATATTCATGGACCAAAGAGCTAGATTTTGGCTTGGAAGTTGTTCTGATTTCTCCCAGTTGGGGCAGAGGGAAAGCATGCTGTATTGATAGATGTGATGGCTGTAGCAAAGAATGGCCAGGCTTCTTTTGGAAAGGACAAAGCCTTTTGGGGAGGGTCATAGTCAGACAGGGCACACCATTGCTTTGCAAAGGTCCCAGATTCAAAATCTCCCACATCTCCATGAAAGGGACAGGACACAGGTGATGGGAAAAAACTCCTCTTGAAATCCTGCTGCTGATCAGCCAACAATAATGGGGTCTATGGGCCTGTAGACTCATTTGGCGAAAGCTTGTTTCATAAATAACTTGGTTCTGCTTATCACGAGCATGCTTATCCCAGAGCAAGGGCCACATGAGTTTTTGAGGGCCAAGCACTTCCTTTGGCTTTTGAGTGTCTGCATTCCCCAAAATGAGCAGGACTAGGGCATGGATCCCCTTGTCTTTGGGACTAATGCATAAGTGGAAATCCTATCATTAAATCTGTTAAGTCCAGAGCCTAAGAGTGCCTTACTTCACCCATGAACAAGAGGAAAGAAACATATAGTAAAGAGAGCAGCACTTCCTGGAATAACCAGGTAACTAGGCAACATTGCATGGATGCAGGATCATTCCAAGAAACTCAGTAGAGACGAAATCTCTGTATGAAGCTCTTAGTGTAAAAGAGAGACAGAAGAAAAAGCATGCACTTAATAAACTAAGCAGGATCTCTTGCTGTTCTTCCATTAATGTTTAAAGAAATCACTTTTCTGTGTACAGAGAACAATTTTAATTTTTATAAAGTGGGATTTGGCACAGCGTCGATCTGTTTTGTCAAGCAAGGTGTGAGGTGGTCTAAGAATCTAGCAGGTTGCTGGGGGGTTCCTGGGAGACCTGATGGATTATGATCCAGATCTTTCCCTCCACAGGGTTAAGCATTTTAGTAGGCTTCAATGCTGCTGGAGGTGCTGT